CTCCTACACTGCTGGTGGGAATGTAAATTAGTTCAACCATTGTGGAAAGCATATGGAGGTTCCTCAAAAAGCTCAGAAGAGAAATACCATTTGACCCAGGAATTCCACTTCTAGGAATTTACTCTAAGAATGCAGCAGCCCAGTTTGAAAAAGACAGATGCACCCCTATGTTTATCGCAGCACTATTTGCAATAGCCAAGAAATGGAAGCAACCTAAGTGTCCATCAGTAGATGAATGTATAAAGAAGAGGTGATACATATATACAATGGAATATTATTCAGCCATAAGAAGAAAACATATCCTCCCATTTGCAACAGCATGGATGGAGCTAGAGGGTATTTTGCTCAGTGAAATAAGCCAGGTGGAGAAAGGCAAGTACCAAATGATTTACCTCATTTGTGGAGTATAACAACAAAGGAAAAACTGAAGGAACCAAACAGCAGCAGAATCACAGAACCCAAGAATGGACTAACAGTTACCAAAGGGAAAGGGACTGGGGAGGATGGGTGGGAAAGGAGGGACAAGGGGGAAAAAGGGGCATTACGATTAGCAGACATAATGTATAGGGCAGGTGGGGGGGTACAGGGAGGGCTGTACAACACAGAGAAGACAGGTAGTGATTTGATAGCATCTTACTATGCTGATGAACAGTGACTGTAATGGGGTATGTGGTGGGGAATTTATGATGGGAAGAGTGTAGTAACCATATGTTTTTCATGTAATGGTAGATTAGTGATACTAAAATTTAAAAAAAAAAGAAAGAAAGAAGGATGACATTTGCCTGATAAAAGAAAAACCTGGCAGAAACAATATACACAATGACAGGGAACTTCAAGCATTCAAGCATCTGCAGGCAGCCTCCTCCTGCTACAAGTAGAGCCTCTGATTAATTCTTAACTTACCCCAGTGATAAATTGTCCTCTTCTGTTTTTTGACCTATTACTAAACTAAACCTGGGCAGTTTAGTGCTGCAGACCTCATAGCAGAGAGCTTGGCAATATTTGTCTTGCTATGAGAGAGAGAGAGAGAGGTCAGGGCCAGAAAATAACAATAACACTCAGAGGGCTCATTATCAGCTGTGTCAAGCCTGAGGGTGGTCTTTGTTAGGCACTGCAGAATCTGTGTGTCCTTGGCTCTGTAGCATTCACAAATTCTATCAACTAGATAAAAACACAGAAGGCAGGTGCCACAAAGTGTGGTCTGTATGGCTAATACATTAAGTGAGAAAATTAGTATTAGGAAAGTATTCTTCTAAAACAATGGCTGAAATTAACAAGATGAAATATGTTAGAGATGCCTGGAAAGTTCTGCAGAACATTCGGTGCTGGAGTGTGAGTGTAAAGGTGTGACTGAACAGCACATCCCATGAGGAAGGCTGGGGATTTAACTGACTAACCCCTAGGTGTGGGCGGTCAGGGTGGTGCAGCTGTCCTGAAATCCAGCAGGATCAGAGGCAGTGGTCAGAGCTGTATAGAGCTGTATATTTCGGTGCACACGGGTCACACCCCACACCCTACTGGTCAGACCCCATCTAAAATCCTGATTTTTATCCCGGGTGTTCTGGTTTGGAAGTGATACTGACAAAGAAGAGCATATTCAGAGGGAGTTGAGGCATCTTAGGAGTGACAGGCACCTAGGAAAATCTGAAAGTTGTCAGGAGAAGATGTTCTGTGCAGTTTCAGGGACAGAACTAAGACCAGGAGGAACAGGTACAGGAGAGAGCTTTCAGCTCTGAGGAAGAGCTTTCTAACAATTAGAGCCGCCCCAAACCTGAAAAGCTGACTCGCCAAATAGGGAGCTCCTCATCACGGGAAGGGTGCACCCCAAGACCGTGGGACTGTCCGTCCCCGGTGCTGGCCAGGGAAGCTCTGCACTGGGCAGAAGGCTGGCCCGGACAGCCTCGAGGAATCACTGACACTGTAATGACGATACCCGAAGGCATTACAGAAGAGGCCACGCTTGAGCAGGGCCCATGTTAACCTCGTGTTTTTCTTCCCGACCTGCCCACTGCAGTACAGAGAGGGGAAGAAAGTGAGACCCAGGCCCAACTACAACAGCGTGGACCTCTCTGAGGTGGAGTGGGAAGACCACGCTGAAACCGTGAGTGGGGAAAGGAGGGAAAGAGGAGCTCCTGCAGCTTTCCGGCCAGTGACAGGCCCGGCCGCGGGGCCCTGGGCTCTGGGGTCACCACACTGCCCTGAGAGGGGCCTCTGCGAGCCTGAACCAGAAGCAGACCTTCAGTGGGTGGTTCTTCCAATGATGGAAAACACCACAGGATCTTCCTGAACCACAAGGATTCCTGATGCTGAACGCGCTCATATCTCTGAGCTACAGCTTTTGTTGAGTCCTAGGAATGTGTTAGTCTGGCTTTGGGTTCAGTAGCTCATCCTAGAGAAACCTACATCTTGGAAATAGGGCACTATGTTCCCTCAGGCGGCAGTCCACCTTGGAGCACCACCTTAGTGGGTGTCCAGAACGACCCACTCCACGTAAGCTAGAATTCTGCCTGTGCCCCCTCCCGGCATTCTGCTCGGGCCCGTATTCCCTGCCGGTGTTCTGCTCAGAGGAAAGGGAAGAACCAAAAGTGTGTCCAGGCTTCACCGCCAACCCGGTCAGGAAAGCCCAATGCCCATCCCCTCCAGGGTAAACCAAGAAACTCACACCATTATCTTTCCTCTTGAAGCTGAGGACAGCCATGATCAATGGGGAAACGGGCTCTGTCTCCATGGATGTGAAGGTCCCACTGGACGCAGGGGTAAGGTGCTTCTGGGTCTGGGGCCTAGAAGGCAGCTTTGCAGCTAATGGAGGTTCGGGGTGGTGACAAGGGACTTGGACTTAGTTGAATTTGAACTTGGCATTGAGTGTCTGCTGTGGCCTAGAGGGCTTGTGTGAGAGCACACCCGCGTGTGCATCAGCCCCAGAGCAGCATCTGCCCGAGGAACTGGCTGCACACCATCCTTGTGGAGATGACACTCTTTGGAGGGACTGAGCAAGGCAGTCGGTTAGCCCAAGCCATACACAACTCTTCTTTCCTCCTATGCTGCCTGCATTTGGCCCTTCTGTTATGATGGAAAGGGGAAAAGGAACAGTTAATTTTGAAAATTGTTAGCAACTCTTGTGAAACATATTGTAGGGGAAGAGGTTGAAAATAATCACTGTTCCCTAGAGCTGATTTTCATCCACTGTAACCGCAGATATTCCAGAATCGCCACCTCACTAACGCCATTACTATCTCCACAGATCAGCATGCCATTTATAAAAGAGCATTTCATCTTCTCATGTGAGAGGCTCCACTGCATTTGCACTAAATTTGCATTGTCCCTTGACATATTTACAAATGTCACCTCCTCCCTTGCAGCCACCCCCACCTCCTCCTCCTGTTGCCCATCTGCCTTGGCTGAGAACAGAGGCATCTGTCTGCAACAATTAGACTCAAGTTCTTCCACAAACACAGACTCCATGGAGGCCAAACAAGAAAGCATGGGAAGGAGAAGCAGCTCATTGCTTCCCTTGTAGATGCACTGGCGTTTGGCACTGGGACCAGTTTCCGATTTCTGTGTCATCTGCCTGCTTTTCATAAACTCTGGGCTGAAAAGGGCGCCTTTACAGACTGGACAGCACCAGCGATGTCAGGCCACCAGCCGCAGCACCTCCTTTTCCTGATCCAAAAATGTAGAAGCTCCTTCCCTGGGCCCCCACCTTTTTCCCTAGGAGACCTCACTCAGTGCCAAGGGTGCCCTCACCTCGCCAGTGTGCCAGAGCGCTTACAGTGGGACTTGACTTCATGCTTTGAATGTCACATGCACGCACATGGCCGCCTCCACCTCCCTTGGACCAGCTCGGACATGGTGTGCTTGTCCCCTCCCAGTGTCCTCACGCTGCCTTCCCACCACTCAAAGCCACCAAGGGAGGGTCCCAGCCATACCCAGGCCAGCCTAGCTTCTCCCGAGTCCTCTGCCCATTCCTTTGACATTTGTCCATTGTTGCTAAGAGATCATCCTGTTTAAATTTGCCATTTAACAAGGCTTCCTGGCCCATGGGCGCTTGAACACAGGGAAGGGAGATGGTGACCATGGCTGTGAGGGCCAGCTCCTAGCACACAGGTGTTCAAGCCTATTATTCTTCTATTACTTAATCATCATCATCACAAAGGCAGCTAACGTTTATTAGAAGCTGGACTAGGAACTTTATGAGTACCACTCACTTAACACTCCCACCCTATCTCCGTTTCATAGATGAGGAAATTCAGAGGCTGAAAACTTGCCCAGGGTCACCTTGATGGTTAATTGCCAAGCTGATGTGCATCTGACCCCAGACCACACACTCTTGACCACCACTGGTGTATGAGGCCTTTCTGTAGGACGCCCTGAACTCTCAACTCGCCCTCCAGCCTTAAAGGCCTCCCCAGTCTCTTTAGAATAGCAATCAATTCCCTCTTAAGGATTCATGTTTCCCCTCCCTCTGATAGCTCAGCCCCTTGACCCTTTCATCTGATTCTGAGCCTGGGAGCACCAGTGCCCATACTGTGTGCATAGGACATTTTGCAGGTAGAAGGGCCCCTCCAGTGGCCCCCAGCCTCTCACTGCTCTGATCTATCATAGTGCCACTCCTGATTTTACCATGTCTGGTTCCCTGCCAGCTGCTCCGTCTCCTTCCATGCCTTCTCTCTCGGGAGTCACAGACAGAGCGCCCCTTGCCTTCATGCTACCTGTCTAGTCCTACCCTCGCCACTCAAGGTGTACCTCACACCCTTGCTTCAGGAGACACACTCCTCGGGTGCAGGCCATGGGAAGCTTTCTCAAAGCATTGTGGGAATATCTGATATCAAAAAGCCATCCTCCTGGCAGGTGATAACCTGTTTTGTTGTTTTCTTCAGGGGATTCTGCATGTATCCTTATTTCCCGTGGATCAGTTCAGACCCTTCTCCATCTCCCCTAAACTCCAGACAAGAGACAATGGTGGTATTATCAGGGACAGTAGCAGCGACCTCAGCAGAACTTAGAGCAGGGCTCACAGACTCAGAAACCTATGGCCCAGACAGGCCATGCTCAGAAGTGTGAGTCAGAAGAGACAAGCCCTAAGACTTGGGGAACAATGGCAGACCAGTGAGGGCATGCACCATCTACAGGGGACAGCCAGGAACCCGTATTTGTAAATGTGTGTGACTAGTTCCAAAAATGTTAAGAACACAATCCACAATCTGGGCTGATATTTAGGATATCAACCTTGGAAGGAGTCCAGCTTTGGCCTGCAGGCCTCCTTTTTTGCCACCTTGGTAGGATGCTACTTGCCACAACATGTGGACCCAGTAATAGATGTCATAATTTCTGATCCATCAGTAGCATCCTGGTCTGATATCCTGGGACATGTTTAAAAGAACAAACCCAAAAATCAAAGTATCCTGGAGCATCCTATCCAGGACCCTTTTTATTATTTGCACGTTATTTAATAGTTTAAAATAAATAATTAGCAATGGGGGAGGGATAGAGTCAGACACAGTGTTCTTTGCCAGCTTTCAGTTACTACAGTGTACACATGTGCACACATGGTGCATGTTCACATACACAAACCAGCCGCTAGCACAGGCAGGCAGGGCAGTCTCGCCCCATATCTCTCTGGCACAGGACTCCGGGGGATGGAACGGAGGTGCCTTGTGGCTGGCACTTTCTCTCTTACACACACACACACTCACTCACACAATTTTCTTTTTCTGACAAAGGCAGGCCACCTATTAAAGGAGGAGATTGTTCTGACACCTCTTCACTCTCATCTTACAAACCTCTCCAGCTCTCCCTTTCTGTTAAAAGGGAGAGGACACACCTCTTCCTTTTCTCTTCCTTTGCTTCAGCCTTAAAAGATGATCTCAAAGTTCTGATTCTGGTCATGAGGGAGTAGCTGGCATTAGACTAACTCTCCAGCAGATGACAGTGATAAATCAGAACAAAATATAAAAAACAAACATTTAAATCACATGACAGTGATCAAAAGCAGGTGGAAGTGAGGACTGAAGAGTAGCTTCAACCCTTGCATCAAGAGAATTTCTCTGAGTAAGACATATATTTATATGACTTTTTTTTTAAGGGCATTCCCTAGTTCATTTAGAATGGAACAGCTAGAATTCAAGCAGAGAGCTGTAGTTGCCATCTTAGAGTGTCAGAGAACAGAATTTGGACTTCCAGAGTATCTGAAAATGAGGGGAGATCCCTAGAAATGAGGGATCCACAGGCTATAACATATATATATATGGGTTATTATTTTGCAGGTAGAAAGACCCCTACAGTGGCCCCCAGCCTCGTACTGCTCTACTCTGATTTATCATGGTGCCACCCCTCATATTACTTAAATACACACACACACACAAACCCCCCTCAAATTCCTGGCTGACCTCTAAACCACATAGAAGAGACACATGGTGGGAAATAACAATGGAAAGCTGAAGATCAGAACAAAGATTTCAGCTGCTGCCTGGGCAGCAGAGACCATTTGGAGTCTAAGTCACACAAGGTAGAGAGGCATGGTAGACACCTCAGGATTTCCTTTGAAAGAACAGAAGAGCTATAGTTTAAAGACTTCGTACCAAGGCCGAGGGATTCACCCTAGAACTAAAGACAAAGTTGAAACAGACCCGCCCTAAGGAAAATGTAAATCCAAGCCTCCTTAGGCTTAAGGTGATCAGTCAATCATTTATTTGATGATTAACATAAAAATCAACACTCTTGAGAGGAAGCCAAATTATCTACAGCCTATCTCTCCCAATAGCAGTATATAATGACAATTATCAGACAAATGTAGCACAAAGAGAAAAAGCAGTCTTAGAAACTGACCCAGAGATTACCCAGCTGTTGGAATTAGAAGAATTTAAAACATTGGTGTGATTGATATGATAAATATTCTCACAAAATTAAAGGAAAAGATGGTCATAATGAGCAAATAGGTGGAGAATCTCAGCAGAGAAATGGTTAGGGTTTGATCAAAAAAGCAGAACCATCTACAAGGGATGTGAACATAGGGTTTTATTCTAGGGTAAGACATCATGAAACTGTGGGAGTTAGTGAAAAAGTCTATGGAATTCTGGTGTGTCCACATCTACTGATGAGCTTGAAGTCACCATAGGTCAGCAGGGCCAGCATTTGGGAAGGAAAGCTGGAGGAAATGAAGAGGAAAGCCAGATCCAGTGGGAGCAGGGGAAGCTTCGAACCTGGCTGTGCCCCATGCCAAGAAGGTAAACCAACAGATCAGAGCAAGCTGCAAGTGCCCAATACCCGTACTTACCTTTCACAGAAAATGGCTACAGTCTCATTTCTTCCTTACCAGATGAGCTTAGCAGTAGATTAGAAGGAAAAAAGGGATAAGGAATGTGAACACAGATTAATAGAAGGTATCCAGTCTGAAGAACAGAAAGAAAATTTTGAAAAAAGTTACCCCTTAGTTACCTGTGTTCTAACGTATGTCCTTGGAGTACCAGAAGGAAGAAGAAGGAATGGAGCAAAAACAAAATATTTGAAAAAAAGAATGCCCAAATAGCCTCAACTTGGTGAAAAACGTCAACCAATAGATACAAGAATCTCAGCAAACCCCAAGCAAAGTAAAAAGAAAAAGAAAACCACACACAGGCACAACATACATGGAACACCTGCTGAAAATCAAAGATAAGGGAAAATCCTACAAGAAGCTAGAGGAAAACAATAATAGAATGATGGCTGGTTTCTCATCAGAAACAAATAAAATAATATTTTTTAAATGCTAGAAGAAAAAAAAGCCTGTCAACCCAGATTTATATGGAGAAAATACCCTTCCAAAAAGTTGAAAAAAAGGCATTTGATGATAAAATGGAACATAGATCATCACCATCAAACCTGCACCACAAGACACGCTGAAGCTCTTCAGCTGAAGAAAAATTGAACAGATGGAAACTCAGCTCTGCATGAGGAAATGAGCAGCATTGGGAATGGCAAGTAGGTGGGTTAATGCAAGACTTTGTTTATTCTTTTAACATCTCAAAAAGACAACTGACAATTTAAGGCAGAAACTGTGGCATTATATTGTAGGGTTTATGATGTGTGCATGTGTAAGATATATGGCAACAATTAGCACATGGTGGAGTTATCCCAAAAACTTAAGGCTAGTTTGACATTCAAAAAGTTGATCAATCAAGGTGCTTCATTACATTAACAGGAGAAAGAAGAAACACCATATGGTCATCTCAATAGATGCTGAAAGAGCATTTGACAAAACCTAACTGGGAACACAAGGAAACTTCCTCAGTCTGATAAAAGGTATCTGTGAAAATGCTAACTTTTAATGGTGAAATACTGAACACTTTTCTCTCCAAAACTGTGAACAAGGGAAGAATGCTATCACCACTTCTGCTCAGCAGTGCACTGGATCTTGCAAGGATCTATCCCTTGCAAGGATCTATAAGGAAAGGAAACAAAATGGAAACTAAAAGGCACAAAAGTTAGAAAAAAAAAAGAAAAACTGTCTCCATTCACAAACAAGATAATTGTTTACATAGAAAATCCAAAAAATCTGCACAATAACTATTAGAATAGTTAATTTAGCAAGTTCACAGAATACAAGGTCAATATTATAAAAAAAATAAATATATTTTCATATATAGCATGAACAATTGGAAATAAAATTATTTTTAAGTTCCAATTTCAGTAGCATCAAACAACATTAAGTACTTAGGAATAAATTTAGCAAAGACGTGTACGACCTCTGCCCTGAAAACTACACAACATTGCAGAAAGAATGTCAAAGAAAAAATTAAATAAATAGGAAGATATAACCATGTTTATGGGTTGTAAGGGCAATATTGCTAAGCTGTACATTCTGCCCAAACTGATCTTTAGATCCAACACAATCCCAATCAAAATTTGAACAGAGTTAGCAGTTGAATGGGAGAAAGTGAGTCTAAAATTTATATGAAAATACAAAGGACCTAAAATGACCAAAACTACCTTTAAAAAAACAAATTTGGGTGATTCACACCACCTGATTGCAGAACTAACAATAAAGGTACAGTCACCAAGCTGGGTAGCACAGAAGAACAGACAAAGGAACAGAGAATCCAGAAGTAAACTTCTGTATCTTCAACTGGTTTTCAACAAAGACACTTCTGCATGTCAATGGAAAAAGGAAAGTCTTTTTAGCAGCTAGTGCTGGAACAACTGAATAGCATGAAAAAAATAAACACTGGGCCATATTTCCCACTATACACAAAAATAAATTTGAGATGTAAAAGCTAAAGCTATAAGGCTTCTACAAGAAAACATTGGAGAAAATTTTCACAGTCTAAAGTTATGCAAAGATTTCTTGGAACACAGAAAGCACTCAACATAAAATAAAATTTGGTAAATTAGACTTCATCAAAAGCAGTAGGTTCTGTTCATCAAAAGGCACCATTAAGAAAATAAAAAGGCAAGGCACACACTGCATCCGGAATACATAAAGACCTCCTACAAACTACTAATGAAAAGACTAACAACCCAATTTTTTAAATGGGCAAAATGCTTGAGCAGATATTTCACAAATAAAGATACACACAAATGAAAATATAAGCATGTGAAAAGATGTTCAATATCTCTAGTCAACGGGGAAATTCAAAGTAAAACTACAATGAGATTCCATTTCACACCCTCTGAATGGCTAGAACTTAAAAGACTGTTAACATCAAATGCTGGCAATATGTAGGGAATTTGGAACTCATGCTTTGGTAATGAACATATAATAAAACAACTTTGGACAATTGCTTGGCAATTTTTTATAAAGGCAAACTTACATTGAGAATATAACCCAGCAGGTCCATTCTTAAGTATTTATCAAGAGAAATGAAAACATATATCCATAATAGGACTTGTTCAAGACTGTTTATAGCAGCTTTACTCATTATAACCCCAAACTGGAAGCACCCCAGATGCCCATCAACAGGCGAATGTAAAAGTAAACCAGTGTTTGCCTCAGGGATAAAAGCACGTACTGTCACATTCAGCAACATAATGGGTTTTAAAGACATTATGTTGTGCAAAACGAGTACCTACTATAAGAACAGGCAAAACTAATCGCAATGATAGAACTCAAAAGAATTTGCCCATGAAAGGGCAGGGTGGGGACTGACTGGAAGGAGGCAAAGAGATTTTAGAGGATGTAAACATTTCATGGCTTCACTGGGAAGGAACTACATGGCTGCAGACATTTATCAAAAACTAATGGAATGACACACTTAAGATCTGTGCATTTTGCCATTTCTTCAATAAAAAAAACAGAAGGAAAAATTTAAAAGACTGTCTCCAGTTCCAACACTGAAGCCAGCCTCCCCTCAACACGCAGGGCTCCCAAGCCCACCACCAGCCTTGCTGGCCGCCACCCGCCCGAGGCTGTTGGGAGGCAGGGAGGTGGAGAGCGGGCCTGACGGAAGCCACGGAGCCGGAGGGCAGCCCACGGGATGAGGCAGCGGCTAGGGAACTCTTCCCTCCGGTCTGGCTAAAGCCAGTTTCCTGTAGATACGATCCTTCAGGCCAGCCCTCCCCCGGTGTCCCGTTTGACACCTCACTTCAGTTTCCAAACGGAAAGAGGAAGCCGGGAAGGGGCAAGGGTAGTCCGAGCGGCCACCCCGCAGATTGCAGCGCCCACGCGCTCTGCGCCACGGCCCGTCTGCGCCCGCGGCCCCTCGACACCCCCCCACCTCCCAGCCGCGTGTGCGGGAGGTGCTGGTGTCCCTCCTAGTCTGCAAGTGAGGAGGCAGCGCTTAGAGTAGCAAAAAGGGCTTTCCCGGAAAGGGCGTGGCCAGCCGCTGACGGAGGCCCCCCCCCCCGAGCCCCCGCCACCCAATGCACCCTGTGACGCCCCAACTCAAGGCCCTAAAACCCGAAGCCTGGCAGCTTTCAAGGAACCCGAAGTTGGACAAGGCCGTGGGAGGGGCTATTGGGGGGGGTGCCCCCATCCTCCCTTGGGGGACGGGCGTAGGGACCTACTCAAATGAGCTCCGGCTGCAGCCTCCCCTCTGGTCCTGCAGGACCCTTACACGCTGTCGTCACCGTGTACACCCGCACTGTCCAGTACAGCAGCCACTAGCTCCTCTGGCTACCTCAGTAGCTCCTCAGTTCCTCCAGGGCACCTTTCAAGTGCTCGGTAGCCACACGTGGCCAGTGGCCACTTGATGGAATAGTCCTGACCTCGGTTCCTCCGTCAGTCAGCGCCCAAGGGCTGCAGTTTGCTGGGCCTGGCGATAATTCTGCCTGGGCATGTCAGCAAGCTGACGCGTGCCCGTGACAGCCAGGGAAGGCGCAGACGTGAGGGAGGCCGCACAGAGGTGGTGAAACCCGGGGCATCAGGGGAGAGGTCGGTGGTGTGGCCAGGTGCTCTTCTCCCCAGCAAACACCCTTTTCTTTCCTCTCTTTCAGAAGAGAGTTCTGTCCCTGACCCATGACTACTTCTTCACAGACATCAGTGACACGCCTTTCAGGTGAGGGACCCACGTTTAATTTCCAGGGGGCAGAGGTGGGTGGGACATGAATACCAACGACTCAGGGCAGAGCTTTCAGGTCTGAGGGATGGATTTAGTCATATTTAGTTGACAGTTTTGTGGTAACAGAAAAGACCCAGGTCTACATCCAGGAAACTTGAAGTCTACACCAGCTTTGCTTAGTGGGCAGGGTCTGGAGCCAAACTGCCTGGGTTTGAATCCCAACTGCACCACTTACAGGCTGTGTGACCTTAGTCAAGTCACTTAATGTCTCTGTGCCTTAGCTTCCTCATCTGCAAAATGGAGGTTGACAATAGTTACTTCTTGAAAATATCATGCTTATTAAATGACATAATCTATTTAAGGATCTTAAAGCAATGCAATTATAAGCAATTGGAAGATGAAAGATCAGATTTGAAGATCTTTTAGGGCCCCTCCAAACTGCATAAATATTCTAGTCTCAGTGTTACACAGACAAGGACATGAATAGCCTTTGTCTCTAAATTACCTCATTTCTTAATAAAGTGTGTTTCCCAGCCCTGACTCCTCATTAGAGTGCCTGAGGAATCTCGTAAATTGCCGAGGCCTGCACCCCCTCCTCACCAATTGACTCCACAATTTCTGAGATGGGGCCCAGGCATTAGTATCTTTAAAGCTCCTTTGTTGATTCTGATATTCAGCCAAGGTTCAAAAGCAAAGCTTTCCAGAGAGAGAAGCAAGCAAGGTGGGGTTCACCAGGTGGGAGAGGATCCCCCATTTGTGAAGCCCTGGAAGACATAGAGAGCTTTGTACATTTCAGGGGTCCCCGAGAGGCCCCCCTCAGCTGTATCCTGACAAGTGTCTGTGGAAGGGCCCCCAGCCTGTAGAATTTCCAGGGTCCTTCTTGAGAAGAAAGGGTGTTGAAAGACCAGAAATGCTGCCTCAGACTGAGGGGACAACCCTCACGCCAGAGGCTTGGCACAGTGCAGAGCTGATGCAGGAGAGGGAGGTGGATGGGACATCGGCCGGCACGTGCTGTTGGTGAGTCCAAGTGTGCTCTGCTCTCCCCACAGCCTGGGCGTGGTGCTATCCCAGGGCCACGGAGAATACATCCTCCTGGGAAACACGTCCGTGGAAGAAGGTGGGTCGGTGCCACTGATGGACAGTTTTGAGGAAAAACGGGTTCTCTTGGGACACTGGGCAGGGCCCCCCAGGGTAGCTGGTGTGACAGCCTCCCAGGTCCCAGTGGAGAGCAGATCAGAGCTGGGCTGCTTAGTGAGGAGGGTGCGTGGCCTGGGAGCCCAGGACATGCAGGGCCCGCCATCAGTCGTCAAAGCCAAGGAAGACGGAGCTGTACCAGCCGGGAGGCTCTGCCTGACGCGGGGCGGGAGCACGCCATGTGCGCCTCTGAACAAAGCTAAACGCACCTGTCAGAGGACAGGACAGAAGGCATGACAGCGGGGCCGTGAAGAGACAGAGCAAAGTGGCAGTGCTCGCCCGGCTGCCGTGACAACGCGCCTCAGGCTGGGGGCTCAGCAGACGATGTTCTCCTGCAGCCTCAGGGCGGTACCCCTCCCGCCCCTCCTCTCGGCCCAGCGGCCCCCCCGGAGTCCCCTGCTGGGGACAGCTGTCCCATTTCCTCCTCCCGTCCAGTGGGTCTTCCCGTGGGTCTGTTTCCCTTTCTCAGAGGGACACCAGGCGTATGGGCTTAGGGCCCACCCTAATGACCTCATCTCAATTCGATTGCATCTGCCAAGACCCTGTTTCCAAATAAGGTCATGTTCAGAGGCGTTAAGACTTACAATAGGGAGCGCATGGGAAGCCGACCTGAAGATGGTGGGAACGGCGGGGCGGATGGGGGGAAGGCCCTTCCCCAGCCCAGCCTGCTGGGCTGCGCAGCTCCCTGAGCACCTGCGGAACCGAGTGCCGTCCCGCCGCCAGGGGGTCTCGGGAGGTCCCGGAGCCAGACCCTGGTCTCCCGCCCACCCCTCCACGCTGCCCCTTGAGCACATCTCCTCCGCACATCTTTGTCGCCCCTCTCCGGGATAAACCACCGCAGCAGCTCTAACGGGCCTCCCTCCCTCCTCCTCTCCCCAACCTCCCACCGGAGGGATCTTTACAGAAGTGCCATGCTAGGTTGTGTCTCTGCCCGGGGGCCTCCAGCGGCCTTCTCTGAGCGCTAGGCCTCGGGGTCTCCCCATGCTCCTCTCCTGCATAGCTGTCATGTTCCCAGCGGCTATCGCAGGCAGGGTGCCCCCCTCCTCCTCCCGGCTGGGTTAACAGCCCACCCGGGTGTCCCCACATGCTCCCCTCGCCCATCCACAGCATGCGTTCGTGACGTTGGAGAGCTCCTTCCCTGCCTCCTGCTGCCCCCCAGGCATGGTGGCATACGTGGACTCCGTGTGTGACTCCTCCGTGGTGGCCTCTTCCTTCCCACTCTCCTCCTCTGTCAAATACTCTGATTTACATTCCCACAGGGGAAAGAAGATGCTTTCCCTTCCCCACTTCTGTGGGTGAGGCCAAGCAGTGATCCAGGGGTTGGACCACGGACCCGACTGGGTTTACTGTGGGGGACGGAGAGCTCCCCACCCCTGTTAGCTGCCTACCTCATGTCTGTGTCAATCCAGCACCCCTTCCAGTGACCCAGCAGATGCCCCCTAGGCATTTCCATCATCCTTTCTGTCAATGTAACAAACCTTACTTGAGCACCTTTTGTTTTTGAGCACTGAGTAGGTGCTCACTGGGCATTTGTTCATTCACTCATTCAATCAACACACACATGGTCATGCAGGCGCCATGCTGGGCAGAAGGCTGCAGAGGTTGTGCAAAACAGACATGGCCCATCTCTGGGCTACCTTTTGATTGGCCAGGTATCTCCACTGGGTACCATGAAGCCAGCGAAGCCCAAGTCCCTGGCTCCAGGTATGCACTGCCGTGAGGGAGATGCTAAAAGGAAGGATCAGAATCAGGACATGAGGCACAGGAAGGAAGAAATGTCCAGGGAGCAGGGGCAGCGTGGACAGAGGGTGACCACTGGCTGTTCTGCTCTGAGAGCAGGGACAGACCTAGCCTTCCCAGGCAGGCTCCCTCCAGGGAGGGCCTAACACTTAGGTGCGGCTCCCACATGGTGGGCCTGAGCTGGGTGTGGCTCTGGTTTCAGGCCTGCACGACCTGCTTCACCCGGACCTGCGCCTGGCCAGTGACTGGTACGCAGGAAGCTGCCGGGCGTGGGGAGCAGGGAATGGGAGGGGAAAGGTGGGCTTCTCCAAGGTAACGTTGCCTCTGCCTGGCTCCAGGAGCTACTGTGTCACGGACA